GCAAGCGCTCACCCTACGTGGATACAGTCAGGACTTTGGTAGCCTCTGAGAGCAGAAGGCCAGGAAGAAGGAAGTGCACTAGAAGAAGCACCCCCTACCGAGCCACGCTCACTCTTAGAGAAGCTCGCACACTTTGCACTACCCGTCCTGTGCCAGGTAAGGGGTTCCTATGAGCTTTTGCATGTACAGTGCTGGCTGTGAGCTTTGCAAGAGCTTCCTGGCTCCACACAGCCACCTGGTCACCACGCCCAGCTTCCCACAGAGCCATGTGGTACCCACAGTGAGTTACCGACAGCAGGAATAAAAAGATGCGGAGCACAACTCTCCCCCAGCTCTACTGACTATGTGAAGAATGAAAATGCTGTTTCAAAACCAAAGAGGCATCCATGATAGGGGAATATTGAAAGAAAATCCAGACTGCTAAACCTGGGACCTAGGATAGAACTGAGATCCACAAATTCTCCAGAATAATAATAGATGTCGGTGTGCATATATTTGGTAAAGGAGTACAAGGTATGTTGCTGTCAGTAGTTTCCTCAAATTCATGAGAAGTGACACAATTAATTTTTAATCTAACCTTTTAATTTAATTTAAATTGAATTATAGTTATTGAAATTAAGATGACATTAAAAACATATTTATGGCAGATGTTTAAACAGATCTCCAGTCAAGGCAGACGCAAAGGCACGTTAATGATATTCAATGAAGAATGTGGAATCTCTAAAAGGTAATTCAAACAGTTTTACCAGGGACTCACAACGACACTTTTACACAAGTTTTCATAACAGCACCATGCACATAGGCAAAAGGAGGAAACAGCCTAAGTGTCCATCCATGGATGACTGGATTAAACAAAATGTGATGTATACATATGGTAGAATATTATTCAGCCTTGAAAAGGAAGGAGATCTGACACATGCTGTAATGTGTCAGATGAACACACTGGATGAACCTTGAGGACATCATGCTAAGTGATATAAGCTAGAAATAATAGGACAAATATTGTATCATTGCACTTACATGAAGTTCCTAAAATAGTGAAACTACTAGAAAAATAAAAAAGGGATACCAGCAGCTGGGGAGGCTAAAATGAGGTGTTATTGTTTAATGGTGAGAGTCCTAGTCTGTGATGATAAAAAAAGTTCTGGAGATAGAAAGTGGTGATGGTTGTACCACAATTTTGTACTTAAAGAAGCTAAACTATACTTAAAATGGTGAAAATGGTTATACACATATGCTATATGGTATATATACACACACTATACTAGTATACTATATATACCATAGTATAATAGATAATATATATACAAGTATAGTATGTACATAGTATATATATACTAGTATAGTATGTACACACTGTATCAAAACAAGAATAAGTAACAATTAAAGAAAAAATTGCATGGCTATTTATAAAGGCTGTATTTTCATTGTGAAATTTAGCCTTTGGCTTTATAAAAAGTTTTTCTATGTCCCTTTGGTCTGCATTTCTTTGGGGTTTTTTTGTTTGTTTTTGTTTTTTTTTAATATTAACATGTACCACCCCCTTCTCTCTCTTTTTTTTTTTATTTTCCTTGATATAGTTTTGCTGATTCTTTTACTTTTCAATCTTTCAAATCACTTAGTTTTAGGTATATCTGTTTTATTATTGTGATTTTAAAAGTATGTTTTCAGGACTTTCCTTTCTTTGCTTGGCAGATACACACTAGGAACAACAAATTTTAATAAACAGGAGACAGCCTCTGGCAGCCTTGGATATGTATCAGTTCTTCAAGGTAAAAAGGACTGAGACAGGCCTAGGCTCGAATTGTGCTTGGGTGGGGCCTTCTTTGGCTTCTAGGGTTAGGTTATGGTCAGAGGGACAGCCACATTTGGCAATACATTCAGTAGCCGTGGGTTCAAAGGATTAAGATCATGTATCAGAGGCACATAGCTCCAAATTCAAAGGTGTAGCTCTGCCTGGTTTTAGCCCCAGGAGATGTATTCTGACAACCTCAATTGGGGCCAAGACCCTGGAAGTATAAGAGTGGTCCGTTGCTACAACCTCAGCCAGGTTCAAGAGGCTATGCAGTCCCCAGCAGCATCTCAGGAGAATATGCTGAGCGGCACAATGACGTTGAGAAGAATCAGTAGAACACAATCAGGGTGATTTAGTGTCATGCTATCTGGGTATATCAAACACAGGCCAGGCCAGACAATCAAAGCATCCAATCCCAGGTCCCTCCAAAGGTTGAAGATGAGGGCACTGCAGCACCTGGAAGCCTTGATGGGATACCGAGATGCAGGCCTGAGATACAGGCTTGTATATCAAAGCTCCATTCCAACTAGGGGCTAACCCCAGGGATCAAGAGCTCTATGTGCTGTGCTACTTGGTGGGAGACTAGAGGATCCCCTCCTGAGCTCCTAGTTCCTGAAAAGGACCACCATGACCACGTCTGCCAGTTGACAGGCAGAGAACCAGTGCAAACAGACCCAAGATAGATGGCGGGCCATGGTGTGTTCTTGGGAGCCTCTGGGGGCAGTGACCCTTGTATGGGCATCAGTTTCCTGGGCTGCCAAGGGGCATCAGGGGAACTGCAACTGGTACATATGGGCTCAGTGGTGGGTTCCGCCACACATGACCACAGGCCTAGAAGAGGTCAGGTCCAGGGTGAGAAAGAGGAGCCTCGGGCTAGGTGCAGTGTCCTCCTGCCAGGTAATGAGCTCCTGGCTGGCCAGCACCCTGGGCTCCCTTTGATCCACAATGGCTCCATCTTGCTAACTTTTCCATAGCTCATAGTGATCAGGATGCATGATGTACATGAAGGTGTCCAGGGAAAAGGTCACCCTGTCCTTCTCACAGCTACACTGAGAGGCCATGTTGCCATAATCTATCCATCCTGGGTGGTGAAATTGATGGTCTCTGTGCAATTGAAGCTGTGGTTGAAGGCTGTGTGGTAGCCATAGGGAAATGTCAAAATGAACTCTCCAGCGTCCTGAGTCATGCTACTGAAGGGAACCCCATTCTTCTTGAGAACTGTATGAGTTGAGGGCCACCTTGTGCCACAGGAAGGCCTCAATTCCCTGGGAACTGCCTGGGAAAAGCTCCATGGCCAGGCATTCCAGGCGCTGGCCCTGGTCTTGGGGCACTGTGTACCAAGATAGGGTCTCCCTAAAGTGATGGTAGTTGATGTTATAAAGGTCCACGTCTTCTGTGAGCTAAGAAAGGTGGTCTGCCACATGCCAAAGTACAAGTAGGGTGTGTTGACAGTTTCTTTGATGATAACCTCACATTCGTGCTCCAGAAAGTCCTAAATTCTTCCTATGTGTCCAGGATTCCATTGTTCACTGTTTTTATCAAATAGGGAGCTGAGGGTCTTCCAGTATTTTCTTCCCAAATCTTCAAACTTTGGGTGTGGTAGAGTCCAAAATACTTCAAAATATTGGAAAATAAATGTGTGATTAAACAAAATACTGAGGTAGCTTTAAGCCACCTTAGTAACTTCATTATGCCATGCAGGCTTCAACCAAAGCTTCAACTGCACAAAGACCATTAGTTTTACCATCTAAGATGGACTGATTATGGCAAATTGCTATGGTGCGTTAATATAAGGATTTAAGGTCAAATCATAACATAAAGAGGAGTATCTAACTGAACTGAAAGAGAAAATCAGCAAGTTGAAAAAATGAATGAATTTAGCACTCAAATCAATAAACTGTACAAATTAAAAAGGAAAGAAAATATAGATATAAGCAGAAACAATTACAAAATAAAACACCCAGAGGCGTAATAACAAAAATAAAAAATCTGATTCTTTGAAAAGAGCTCTAGAAGTTAAAAATCACAGATGAAAACACAAAAGAGAGAAAGTGCAAATAAACTACATTGTGATAAAATAATAAAGCACGCAGCTAAAAACCTTGGACGGGTTTTTTAAAAATTGTAATTGAATCTTATGAAAAACTTGGTATAATAATTTTCTCAAAAGTATAAATATCAGAAAGTAGTCCAACAGCACAATAAAATCTACTTTTCAAAAAAGATTTCTAATTTTATTTTGGGAAAAGGTAACACCAAGAAAACATTTTAATTCAATGATAAAAACATGGTTACAGTAAAAAAAAATTCATACTCAAAAAGATGCACCGTAAGTTCTTACAAAGTTAAAACCATTTCTTCCATAACATTCTCCACATTTTAAGTTCTTATATATTGATTAGATTTGCCATTTATTAGAACAGGGAGGGAGAAAATGTGTGATTATCATCAGCTAGATGTGCTCACCGCATTCTCCATTGTTTACCTGCAAGGTTGTCAGGCATTTAACTGGACAGCCATTTGTTCTTCAGGACTGGGCGTCTTTCCCCAGGAGCAATCAGAAGAGGAAACAGCTCAGCGCTCTGCATTACAACAGCCCACCTTAACAGCTAACCAGCATCACTCAGCTGCTATGCAGCCGGGCCTAGTGCACAAAAACAGAAGAAATTAGAACTGTGTTTGCCAAAAACCCAGTCTTTTCACCTGAAAAATCTTTCCACATATTTGGATCATATTACCAGTTAGATTTAAAGGTAATAACATTACACATATACATTTATACCGCCTTTTGTAAGTTTCTAACTTTAAGGAATGAAGGCAATGTCGAGGCAATGTCGTGACAGCGTTGGGCTGTTTTTAGTGGCTGCACACATTTCTTAAGAGTCAGGTGGCCACAAATTAGGTTACCAACCTGTTCATTTCAAATAAAAAATGGCAGCACTATTGAATCAAATATAGGTCGGCGCAGGGGTTCACGCCTGCAGTTGCAGCACTTTGGAAGGCCGCGGGGAGCAGATCACTTAAGCCCAGGAGTTCAAGACCAGCCTGGCCAACATGGCAAAACTCCGTCTGTACTAAAAATTCAAAAATTAGCCCGGCGTGGTGGCGGACGCCGGTAATCCCAGCTACTTTGCGGGCTAAGGCAGGAGAATAGCTTGGACCCAGGAGGCGGAAGTTGCAGGAAGTGGAGATGGCGCCATTGCAGTCCAACCTGGGCAACAGAGCGAGACTTCATCTCAAAAACAACAACAAAAACACATATAAAATTTTCTCTCAAATATCCAAATCCAATCTAAAGTCTTTCACCTCATTAAATTACAAGAAAATGTGAATAACAACAAAATAGCACACAAAATGAATTTTGCCACCTGATGCAAAGCTTCAAACTGATAAAAAGGTAGACAAGTGTGACACAACCTTTTCCATAGGCAGTGCTACTTCCAGGGACTCTGCTTCTATGGACTGAGTATGTGGTCCTTTCCCCAAGTCCTCCATCACGTGTTAGCTGATGATCATTTTCCTAGAAGGACACTAGTCCTTGCCCTTCAGGAGACTTAGGAGGACTCTTGGATCGCGACCCGTACTTGGATTCCCTCTTGGATAGTGGGGGAGGAGTCTTGGACGTGGGCGGGGACATGGACCGTGAGCGAGATCTGGAGACATTGGAGAACTTGGATCTTCGCGAGATCTCGATTTGGAGGTCAATGGAGAGCGAGAGCAAGTAGGGGACCCAGACTTGGAGTGAAGCTGGCCGTAGGGAGACCTGTTGCATGGAGACAAGCTGTAGGGAAATGGGCTGTAAGAAGATCGGATATAGCGAGATCAGCTGTAGCGAGATTACCTGTAGGGAGATCGGCTATAGCGAGATCGTCCGTAGGGAGGGCGTCTGTAGGGAGATCCCCTGTACTGAGACCAGCTGCCGGACCTGGAGCAGCTGGGACCCCAGGATCGGCTGCGGTGTAGCCGCCTGGGACTGCAGCTCTGCCGTCCATAGACGCCGCCCCGGACCTGCTGCGTGGCGCTCCCTGGCGGCTGCGGGGCAGGTCCCAGAGGCCATAGCTCACCACCTGCACCCGCAGCTCCCGTCGGTCCAGCACCTCCCCATCCCTGGCGGTCTTGGCGTCTTGGGCTTAGTGCTGGTCGTGGAAGCGGACGAAGGCGAATAATTTTCAAAACAAACTTAACAACTGTGATCATTATAATCTGCAATAGCCAATAATTAAATGGAAAATGCTTTTCAATATGTGGAACACAATTGCAAAAATTTCCCAGTGCAGGCCTACAAATAAATATCAATTAAAATTCCATAAGTTAATAAATTGAGCATAATCTTGACCTCACTGAAATAAAATTGAAGGTCAAAAATTTAAAAACTGAATCTGACCATATTTATTTGAAAATTAATATCCACATTTTCTAAAAATCTATTGTTTTTATGTTGAAATCCAGCAATTAGTAAAACAAAAAAAAGCAAAAAACAAAAAAGGTAATAAAATGTTAATACAATGATAGAATTGTAAACAAACAAAAGGAAATCTAGACTAAGATGTTCAATAAAACTGCAATCTGATACTGTTAAAGAAAGTAAAGGAGTGGCAATACTGATAAAAAAAATAAAGTTTCTAGACCTGTACAGGAAATATACACAAAGAGCCTAGAGCATCTTGGAGTGCTGGAAATTAAAGATATGGTAAGTACAAAACAAACAAAAGCAATGATAGGGTTATATCAGAGCACCGATGGGGTTATATTAGAAGAACACAAGAACCAATGAAAACAGCTCCCATTGGCCAAATCTTGAACAACAAAGTGACTAAAGTACAATTGAATTATAATCCAAAGTATAAAATAAATACTTGTGAGTTCATGCTGTTATAAACAAATGAGTAAATTTAACAAATTGAAACGAAGAGACAAAACCCTTCTGCAGAAGAATTCTAAATAAATGTACTAAAATGTTGCTCATTTTGAAAATGTTATATAACCTTATATAAATAGAATTGTGCTTTATGCAACTTAATGGGTTTTTTAAATTTCCCTCATCTATGTTGTTCCATGTAGCTGTACTTAGTCCTGTTGCCTGCTGTAAGGTATCAATGGTATAAATGTTTGTGCTGTTGATGGACATTTGGGTTGTTTCAACTTTTGGCCTCTTACAGTGTTGCTCAGAACACGCTTGGACATGTATACTGGAGCTCATGTGTCCTCTTATCTATGAATGGATCCCTTGTCATAGAATACAGGCAGCCTTCTGTAACCTCTGGGTTCAGCATCCGTGAATTCAACCAACTGTAGGTCAGAAATAGAAGAAAAGAAAAAAAAAAAAAACCAACAAAAATAACAAAAAACAATACAGCAAACAACTATTTACATTGTATAGTATGTAATCTAGAGATGATTTAAAGTATATGGTAAGATATATACAGGTTAAATGCACATACCAAGCCATTTTATATACAGGATTTGAAAATCCTCAGAATCCTCAGGGGTTTCTAAGAAACAAACCTCCTCTACCCCCAGGACATCAAGGGACAACTGTATGTAAATTCAAACGTTATCATGCCTGATTGTTTTTCAGCAGTTTTTACCAATTTACACACAGGACAGCTGTAAATGAGAGTGCTTAATGCTCTTCATTTTTGCAAATCTTTGGTGAATATCAGACTTTTTAGTTTTAGCCAATTAGGTGAGGGAGTTGTGGTGTTTCATTAAGATTTGCATTTCCTATGATTTGGTCCCCACACAACAGCCTGGGTGACACAGCGAGACCTTGTCACTTAAAACTTAAAAAAAAAAAATCATTTCCCTGATTACAAATGAGAGTGGACAATTTTTTCATTTGTTTATTGGCCATTCAAATTTTCTCATTCATGAGGTGCCTATTATGTCTTTCATCCATTCCTCTACTGGGTTTGCTGTCTGTATACTTACATATGATGCATATTAGCTGTTTATTGCATATGAATAATACAATATCTCCTCACAATCCTTAGTTTCTTGCTTCCTTCTTTCTTCATATTTTTTGATGAACAGAAATCCCTCTTTATTTTTAACAGTAAGAATATTATTCTATTATTCAAGATAGCTGACATACATGGTGACTATCAAATGACAAACACTACTCAATTTATTCTGTTTAGAACAACTCATTTAATCTTCACAATATCCAGTAAGAGAAATCTTCACTCTACTTTTCAGATGACAAAACTGAGTCATGAGGACATTAAGTCATGTGATCAAGGTGATAGTCAGCGAGTATTGGAGTCAGATATTCAAACAAGAATCTCCAAAGTGATTTCTTAAAAAAATAAAAAGAAAAATGACTTCTCCCCTGTCAAACCATGATGTTTGAGCTGAAATGAACAATACATCTAAGTACAGAATACAGTAAGACCAGACACAGATACAGGTACAGTTGACCCTTGAACAAAAAGGTGGTTGGGGTGCTGAACCCTTTTGCAGATGAAGCTCCTCATATAACTTCTGAATCCACACAAAACTTAACTAATAGCCCACTGTTGACTGGGAGACTTACCAATAACATAACTAGTTGATTAACATAGATTTCACATGTTACATGTATCATATAACCATATTCTTATAATAAAGTAAGCCAGAGGAAACAGAATGTTTTTAGAACATCATAAGAAAGAGAAAATGCATTTACAGTACTGTCCTGTACTTGTGGATTCCTTAAGTTTACTTCCTGCATTCACTAGATAAATAGTCTGTCTGAAATAGCAGGCAAGCATGCTATAGATCTCCATCTACAACATGCATCACGCAACTCAGGTTTTTCTCATCCTGCCATGACAATTTATCTGCTTCTTGGGGACACTTCTAGCACCAGTAGTGGCATTTCCTATGCATCCTAAGGTGTTATTTAAGCTTTATGATATTGCACTAAACACGATGAAAAATACTCAAGAACCTGGAGAGTTCACTATTTACTGCAATACACAACATACTGAAGAGAAAACTTGCTTATGTGGAGATTAGTGTCCCCCAGAGTTTTAAGTGGACACTGGCAACAGTTGAACTCACTGCAGTAGCAGCATGAGGTGGCTACAAAATTCTTAAGATAGTGCAGTGTGTACTAACATTAATTTATGTAGTTATGATTTAATACCGAATCTTTTTTTAATATTTATCTGAACTGTGAATGGCACCATGTATGGTCTCTGTGTGTGTAAGTGCTGATTAAGTTTTTACAACAGAGCTGTGTATATCTTATGGTAGTAAATGATAAAATACACTAGTATCTACATTTATCGTATGCATTCATAACATATCCTCATTTTTCTTAATTTTTCTATATTTCTAAGCCAAAAAATTCATCTGGGAGTTTTTTCAAATGGTTCTAAGTCTTTAGAAAATTTAGCAATATAGTTATGGGACAAAATCCACATATAAGTGGACCCATGTAGTTCAAACTTATGTTGTTTGAGGCTCAACTGTATATGTGGGAATCTGTACATAATGAACACGGCATACCAATCCCATGAAAAGGAATTAACTATTCAATAAGGGATTTTGACAGTGAAACCCTTGGAAGAAAAAAGTAAAAATAGAGCGCTACCTCACACCACTTACGTGTGTAAGTAAACAATGAATTAAAGACTGAGTGTACAAAAGAGAACTTTAAGACTATTTGAGAATGTATTAAAGAATGCCTTTATGAGTTTAAGGTAGGAAAAAATGTCTTAAAGAAGAACCAAAGCACAAACAATGATGGAAATGTCTGATATATTTAACTGATTTCAATGTAATAATGACATAAACAATTAAGAGACAAGATACACCATAGAATAGTTTAATCATACTTAAAGAGATAAAGAATAAGTATCCTGGAAACTTGTACAGATCAATACAAAAATTAGTCAACCCAAAAGAAGTGGGCCAAACCTTAGAATAGGCAACTCAAAAAAAGTGGCTAATAAATATGAGGAGACATGCAAGATCATTAGTAACAGAGAAAATACAATAAGACATTTTTTATAAATTTAGGCAAAGTGAAAATGTCTCAGTATAAACATGCACCAAATATGGGGAAACCAGAACTGTCACACAGCTAATGAAGATAGAAATTGTAGGGCAATCTAACTGTTCCTAGAAAAAATGAAAATGATTATAGATATAACCAAGGAACTCTAGTTCTGTCTACACAGCTGTTCAATAAAGTGTTGTTTGAGGTAACAAAGATGTGGAAATAATCTACTTGTCCATCAGCAGGGGAATGAATGAAATGAAAAATTACACAGATCTGTTGACTGTTGTAGCCACTAAGATCTATATACATAACAATGTGTGTAGATCTCATAACATTTACTTTATTTATTTATTTATTTATTTATTCATTTATTTATTGAGACAGAGTCTTGCTCTGTCACCCAGGCTGGAGTGCAGTAGCACCATCTCGGCTTACTGCAACCTCCGCTTTTTGGGTTCCAGTGATTCTCCTGCTTCAGCCTCCCGAGTAGCTGGGATTACAGACATCCACCACCACACCTGGCTAATTTTTATATTTTTAGTTGAGACTGGAAATTTCACCATGTTGGCCAGGCTGGTATTGAACTTCTGGCCTCAGGTGATCCGCCCGCCTTGGCCTCCCAAAGTGCTGGGATTACAGATATGAGCTGCCACACCTGGCCAACATTGAGTTTTTAAATAGGTGTCAAGGGGAGGAGGATAATTTGATAAAACCACACCTGACATATTATCTTGGTTGTGTAGAATTCTCAATCTAAACTTGAAGAATATGCACTGAACCCATGATTGTTATTTCTTGAATTGAAGAGAAGCCTAGCAACAGAGGTCATGGGAGACCACAAAGATAGCTCTACACTTGACTTTGGAGAATTTTCATTATCAATGCTCCTTGACTTTCCAAAAGAGAGTACAGTGTACCAAAAGCTTTCACTGGATGTGGGCAAACAGCTGGATATCGGCACTTTTTACATAGAAGAGTGGTCCAAATTGACTGTGTCAAGTGAAGTAACATAGAATTCAAATTACAATTGAGGAAGCCTCCCACCACCACACGCAACTTCCTGAACATTCCAAAGACTAATTTAGAAAGAAGCTTAGCCAGACCATTGCTTGTCCTGATTTAGCAAGAATATGCAAAATATTGATGAAAGTAGCTGAGTAGAAAAAGGAGTGCAGTGGGAGCACTATTTTATGCAAATTATTTGTGTGCTTATGTTTCTTGCCTTTCACAACCCAAGATTTCTTTTTTTTTTTTTTTTTTTTAATTTTAGGTATCTCAGGAGGGTATCTATCTGCCTGGGGAGAGATTGTCATGTTGCTGAAGAATAGCGAGCAGAAATTCAGTTCTCACATTCTGAATTAGACTATGAGCCAAACTATCAATCTTCAGAGGTTTTGTTGAAAACCTGTTGGAGAAGTGTAGTTCCTTGGGACAGCTCCTTCAAGTTTGCATCGGGATGCCTGCTTTCACCCACCCCAGTGAGACTTGCTCACTCTTATCTTCCAGGTAAGAATTGGCAATTCCTAAAATTCAGTGATGAGGTTGGATTGCAGATATGGAAGTGCAGAGAAATAAAGGAATTCTGGAAATCTCTGAATCATGGGTTCAGTGCATATTCTTCAAGTTTAGATTGAGAATTCTGCACAGCCAAGATAATATGTCAGGTGTGGTTTTATCAAATTATCCTCCTCCCCTTGATGCCTATTTAAAAACTCAATGTTGGCTGGGTGTGGCGGCTCATGCCTGTAATCCTAGTACTTTGGGAGGCCAAGGCAGGCAGATCACCCTTTCTCCACATCTTCACCAGCATTTGTTACCTGGCTTTTGAATATAAGCCATTTTAATTGGGCTGAGATAATATCTCATTTAGGTTTGATTTGACTGTCTCTGATGATCTTGAGCATCTTCATATGCCTGTTTGCCATTTGTATGTCTTCCTCTGAGAAATGTCTGTTCAAATCTTTTGCCCATTTTGGATCAGATTATGAGATTTATTTCTATATTATTATTTGAGCTCCTTATATATTTTGGTTATTAATCTCTTGTCAGAAGGGTAGTTTGCAACTCTTCTCTCCCATTTTGTAGGTTATCTCTTCACTTTGTTGATTGTTCCCTTTGCTGTACAGAAGCTTTTTAATGTGATGTGATTCTGTCTGTTTTTTTACTTCGGTTGCCTGTGGTTGTGGGGTGTTGCTCTAGAAATGTTTGCCTAGACCCATATCCTAGAGAGTTTCCCTCAGTGTTTTCCTGTAGTGCTTTCATAGTTTGAGGTCTCAGATTTATGTCTTTAAACCATTTTGATTTTTTCATATGGTGAAAGAATAGTAGAGTTTTATTCTTCTGTATATGGATATCCAGTTTTCCCAGCACCATTTATTGAAGAGACTGTCTTTTCCCAAAGACAGAGGTGTTCTTGGCACCTCTGTTGAAAATGAGTTCACTGTAGGTGTGTGGATTTGTTTTTGGGTTCTCTGGTCTGTTCCATTGGTCTATATATCTGTTTTTATGTTAGTAACTGCTCTTTTGGTTACAATAGCTCTGTTGTATAATTTGAAGTCAGGTAATGTGATTCCTCCAGTATTGCTGTTTTGCTTAAGACAGCTTTAGCTGGGTCTCTTGTGATTCCATATAAATTTAAGTATTGTTTTTTTCTATTTCTGTGAAAAATGTCACTGGTATTTTGATAGGAATTACATTGAATCTATAGATTTTATTGGATAATATAGACATTTGAACAAAAATGATTTCTTCCAATCCATGAACTTGGAATATCTTTGCAGTTTTGCGTGTGTGTGTCCTCTTCAGTTTCTTTCACCGGTATTTTCTGGTTTTTATTATGGAGATCTTTCACTTCTTTGGTTAATTCCTAGGTATTTAATTTTATCTGTGGCTATTGTGAGTGGGATTACTTTTGTGATTTCTTTTTTAGATTGTTCACTGTTGGCATATAAAAATGCTACTACTTATTTTTGTATGTGAGTATTGTATCCTGCAACATTACTTAATTTGTTTATCAGTTCCAAGAGTCTTTTGGTGGAGTCTTTAGTTTTATCCAAGTGTAAGATTATGTCATCTGCAAACCAGGATAATTTGACTTCTTTCCAGTTTGGATGCCCTTTATTTCTCTTGGGTGATTGCTCTAGCTAGGACTTCTACTACTATGTTGCATAAGAGTAGTGAAAGTGGCATCCTTGTCATGTTTCAGATCTTACAGGAAAGCCTTTCAGTTCTTTCCATTCAGTATGACACTAGCTTAGGGTCTGTCATCTATGGCCTTCACTATGTTGAGGTATGCTCTTTCTATACCCAGGTTTTAAATAGTTTTTATCATGAAAGGATGTTGAATTTTATTAAATGCTTTTTCATCATTAGTTGAGATGATCAAAAGGTTTTTATTCTTCATTCTATTGATATGATGTATCACATTGATTGATTTACATATGTTGAACCATCCTTGCATCCCAGGGATAAATCCTACTTGGTCATGATTAATAATCTTTCTAATGGATTGTTGAATTCTGTTTCCTACTACTTTGTTAAGGATTTTTGCATGAATATTCATCAGAGATATTGGGCTGCAGTTTTCTTTTTTGATGTGTCTTTGTCTGGTTTTGGTATCAAGTTAATACTGTCCTCATAGAATGAGTTTGGAAATAATTCCTCTTCCTCTACTTTTCAGAATAGCTTTAGTAGGATTAGTATGACTTCCTCAAATGTTTGGTGGAATTCAGCAGTGAAGCCATCGAGTCCTCACCCTTACTTTACTGGGAGATCTTTTATTACAGCTTCGATCTCATTATTTGTTATTGGTCTACTCAGATTTTGGATTTCCTCCTGGTTCAATCTTGGTAGTCTGTATGTGTCTAGTGACCTATGCATTCCTTCTAGCTTTTCCAATTTATTGCCACATAGTTGCTCATAGTAATTACTAATGATACTTTGAGTTTCTGCAGTATCTGTTGCAATGTCTCCCTTTTCTGATTTTCTTAATTTGGATCTTCTGTCTTTTTTTTTCTTAGTCTGACTAAAGGTTTGTCCATTTCATTTAACTTTTGATACCACAACTTTTTGTTTCATTGATCTTTTGCATTGTTTTACTCATTTCAATTTCATTAATTTCTGCTCTGATCTTTATTATTTCTATTCTTCTACTAATTTTGGATTATATTTGTTCTTGCCTTTTTACTTCTATAAAATGCATCATTAGGTTGTTTATTTGAAGTTTTTTCTCTTTTTCATGTAGGCACTTATAGCTCTAAAATTCCATCTTAGTACTGCTTTTACTGTATCCTATAGGTTTTAGTATATGGTGTTTCCATTATGATTTATTTCAGGAAATTCTTCAGTTTTCTTCTTAATTTCTTCACTAACCCACTGGACATTAAGGAGCATATTGGTTCATTTCCATGTGTTTGTATAATTTCCAAAATTCCTCTGGTTATTGATTTCTAGTTTTGTTCCACTGTGGCCAGAGAAGATGGTTGGTATTATTTGAATTTTTTGTATGTTTTCGGATGAATTTTCTGACCTAATATATGGTCTGGTCTTGAGCATGATCCATATGCTGAGGAAAAGAATGTGCATTTTACAGCTGTTGGTTGAAATGTCCTGTTAATATCTATTTGGTAATAAGGCAGACTAAATCTGATGTAGAACCTTATATTATACCATCTTGCTCTGCCAGTTCCTCCAGTTTAAACAATTACATACACCCATGTAATCATCACTCTAAATGAGATGCAGAGAACATTCCCATATGCCCTGATATTCTCTCATGCCTGGAACTTTCCAGTCAATTCTTACTTGTACTAGAGGCAACCATGATCTAAGTTCTATGACCACAGCTTAGTTTGGCCTCTTTTTTTTGTTTGTTTTTGGAGTGAATATAAAATGAATCATTCCTTTTCCGGTTCATTCCTTTTTATAACTGAATATTATTTTAATAAGCTATAGTTTTTCCACTCATCTGTTCAGACACGTGGATTATTTACAGTTCCTGATTTTTTATTGATTGGGTAAATACCTAGGAAGAAAAATAGCTATGGATAGATGAGAGCTCAAGTTTACAGAACATTGACAAACAGCTTTTCAAAGGAGCTATATAATGTTACATTCCCACAAGCAATGTATGTGAGGGTAATTTGCTCTGAACATGGTACAGTTCACTAGAACCAGAGTACATCATCCTAAGAAGTCCAGCAGTAAAACAGAATGGTCCATCATGCTAATGTCAACATGTTTGCTTCTTGCCCTTTTGACTTCTGGTATTCAAAGGGACATGTTTTCACCAGGGGTCACAACAATAATTCCATAAAATAAAAGCTGAAATTCTCATGTGGCCATTTCTATCTCCTCACATCTCTAAATAACCAAAGAAAAACTATAATTTCAGCAGGGGAAACCAGTGTTTATTTTCTCAAGGAAATTATGTTTTCAAAACACAATGAAACCTGAAATAAAGTTGCAGGTCAGGCTTGTTATGGAACAGACTCTGAGACTTCCGTATCAAGATCTTTCTTAATGAGTGTGCTTGGGTTCCATATCTGAGAAAAGGAGAGGAAGGAAGCATGTTTGAGCATAGGGAAAATTGGAGCTGTGGATTAGCCCGAAGATACTTTCAGTGGATCCTGCAGGGAGATCTGGAGCTCAAATGGCCCTTTAGTGATGTCCTAAGTTGAGCAGAAATGGCCAAGCTTTATGCTCCAGTAGTGAGCAATCATGGGATGTGGACCAAATTGGGAAGAGGCATGGCCTTGGGTGAGGCAGCTCTCTGCAACTGAAGGCTGTCTGCTTGCTGAATTCCAGGGCCAATGAGGCTTTTACCTATCACATAAAAGTTTCTTCCTTGCTCATGCAAGATGTACTGAGGGTCCAGCAGTTCTCTTGGGCTACTCCCTTCTAGTGAATGCAGTGTGCTTTCATCTTTGGTTCCACCATGTCACTATTAGCTTAAACCCCTTTTCAGCCAGGCATCTCAGTCCATCCTCCTGTATGCCTGGAGACCCTATGTTGTCCCTCTGCTTGAATTTTTCAAAGAATAAACTTCTTGTTATGTTAAGAAAGACAAAGTTGCCTGAATGAATGGGAGAGACAGGATGATAAGAGATTTTCTGCTCTTTATTGAGAAATTTAGACAAGCACCAAGTTTTGATTACTCATGCTTCAAAATGTACAGCCTTCCTGAAATTCTGGATGGGAGTGGGGAAGTTAAGGAAGGGTGGTACTGAGGTGGGCAGTGGTTTGCTTCTCTGAATGTTTCCTTCTTCATCCAAACTGTCATTTTCAATGTTAAAAACATATTCTGAATTTTTCCATTTCTGTGCATTTGCAATACTAACAATTAAGTGTAAGCAACTGTCACTCTCACTTGTATTATAAATAGTCTAATTGCTTCTCCTACTCACACTTTCTCCACAGAACAACTAAGCTGATTACTTAAATGTGTCGTTCACATCTTTTCCACTGCTGTTTTAATGACTTCTCATTTCAAGTTGAAGGAACACCAC